AGCCCCCTGCGATCCGGATCCGATTCCTCTCACTCCTCTCCTCTCTCCACTGCCTTTTCTCCAACATGGCCCATGCAAATACACAGCACTGGGCCGGAGTCGCCTCTTCCCTCCTCCGCACCAAAGGCCGCTGCTGTTGAAGACTCTCTGGTCAACCATGTAGCGGCTGACCTCGGTTACTGTCGTTTGGATGAAGCTCCATGTGAAGAAGGTAAGCTGGCGACTTATAGCCTTTCCATTTCCCCCAAGTACGCGTAAGTTAGCCTCAGGGAAAGCGCTTGTGGTCGTCACAGTCGTCTCACTTGCTTCGTCCCCCCCTAGGAAAGGCAGGCTTGTAAACATGTCTTTTTCTAAAAAGAAAAGGGCGTGACCTCTGGGCGAGCACCTGTATTAGCCGGAGCTTTTGGCATCATACAGGAGGCAATTGTCAGAGAAGGTGAGACAACAGCAGGCATTGACATGTTTTTGTAGTCCAGCTACGAGGAAGTGGGGGTTGGGGAAGGGGGGTGGTAGCATTCGCGAGTGGTTGAGTCCACGCTCACGTCGTCTCCCGTATCGTCTCGGCTTGCGTCCTTGGCGTTGTGGCATACTAGATCGTGTCCCAGATCACTATCCACACCCTGGAAGAAGGCCACGGATTTGCCTTCGCGGGAATGCAGATAATGGCGCGAGGCAGTAATAAGACGGGGTAAGAAGTACTGGAGACCTGGATGTCAAACCCTACCTCCATCAACAGGTATGCGAATATAGACCTGTTGATATACCTCCCGCTTATCACGCGCTACGCTCACGCAGCCGTGAAGCATGGTCCAGTTCCCTGTCAGAAACGTACGCCGTTTCCACCACCCCGTGAGATGGCAGAGACTCAGCCCCAGCATGGGAACCACGCTCTCCAAGCTCTACTCTCCTTTATTGTTGCATTCTCACTGTTTCTAATGATAGCCTTGTGCACGAAACCGAGAGCTCAGCCTAATTGTCCCAGTGATTGTGTGTTCATCTTCCCTGCAACGAGAATTTGGGACCCCATTTTCGCTTCCATTCAGTAGTAAAACTTTGTCGTTGGATATAACAGTTGGTCGAGTTCTCTAGGTTCGCAGTCACTTATTGTGAATGGTGAAGGGGGGATGCAGTAGAATCTGCGATATAATCGGAACCACCAACACTAGACATGATCAGGTTTGTACCTTTTAACGGCTCCATTTTACCTTGAAGCTCTGGTCTAATGCTCGCGGGTCTCCTTCGGCCTGGATGTGGGATATTGCTGACGACCACCAAGTAACTCAGAACTAGTCTCTTGCATTTATCGATACCACATCTCAGAAGATTGGTTTGCTTTATGAAAATCTTTTTTTTCTAGCTGTTCCAGACCCCCGTGTACACGTCCCCTCCGTCCGAGTCGGAGGCACTCCTCCACACCCTCTCGAGGGCACTACCAAACCTACCTCACTCGCCCCACTTTCCGCAACTCGAAGACGAGAGTTTGCGGCCCAATTTAGAGATCTGTTTCATCCCAAACTGGGGCATCATCATCAGCAGCAACAACCGCATGACAGTTCTGGAACAGCACGACCTTTGGTCAGTTGGGATGACGCCTCCCGTCTGTTTCAGACCCAATTTGGCATCTCTTCTTCCGTCGCCCTGACCATATGGTACGTGAGTCTGTTCCATCCTGTTTCCTAACCAGGCTTTTCAAATTAACATTGGAAATAACCGCCTACTTACAAATTTTAAGTAGGGTGATTTTACAAAATCTACCAATTTCTTCATTCACTCGCCATTATTCTACTTGGAATTAGCGATACTTCTAAAAATGTGCCTCAACGACCTCGCCCGAGGTCAGTGAATACCCCCCCCGACATAAAGCGCTCGCCGTGGGTCCAGTAGGAGTTAGCAATGATATCAGACATGTACTTCTGTGTCCTCGCCCGAGGTCAGGAAACATCCTCGAACTTACCCTCGTAACTCCTTTATTCTTCAGAATTATTACGAACTGATTTTTTTCCCTGGCATATCCCGACCATTCTATCCCCTAAAACCAGGCGTCCGTAAGACCGAGGGGCGCGCTCCTAACGTTGCCATTTACCATACTAATAGCTCAGATGCTAACTAA